TTTTTTTTTTTGGCTTAATTTCAGCCAGCAGAACGGTTATTGTTGAATACTTAAGGCAGAGAGTACACAATAATCTGTTAGGAACGGTGTTGTGTAATAATGGGGGAAACAGATCAAACCACCACAACAAAGGGGTTCTGCTGGACGGAAGACGTTTGATCTAGGTGCCTTTTTTATAACCTTTCAGCTTATCTCATGCAAACTGAACATGAGAGAAAATTTACCTTTATGGAAGCCTATGTATAAGCCTCCTGTGAGTTCACTCAGAAGTGAAGGCCTGTAGTCCCTTTAAAGCAACTCTTCCTTCTACTGCCAATACTCATACCAAATCATAATTTTGAAGAGGATTAGAAGGATTCTTAGGCAGATAGGCACACAATTCTCTTTGAGATCCCTCAAATTATTTTGAAAATTCTTGTTCCTCAGGACTGAAAAACTGTATTTGTCAGGCAACTGGTAAAGCTAACAGAACTGGGATACTGGTTTTAGTAATCCAGGGTCAGGAGATCTTACTTAGTACCGGAGTGCCATTTCAGCTTCTCTTTCATCATTTCTTTTCCTTGACAAGACTTACAAACATTGGTGAATGATAAATAATGCACCAGTACCAGGAGTCTGTTCAGCTCCGCTATTAATTTGTTATCTTCTTCCTAAAACAAAAACCTTAATGTTTGCAAGATGATTTGTAAAATTACTGAAATAAAGTAATAAGCTCGCTAAACGGTTAATCTGGTTAAATGGTTAAGCTTGATAATCATTTCCAGACACATGAAAACACATAGTGGTGTATCCCAGGGGTCAGTACTGGGTCTGATCCTGTTCAACATCTTCGTTAATGATCTGCACAATGAGGCAGAGCGTACCTTCAGCAAGTTTGCAGATGACATGAAACTTGGAGGAGTGGCTGGTATACCGGAAGGTTATGCAGCCAGGTGGATGGGCTGCAGAAATGGGCTGAGAGGAACCTCATGAGGAGGTTGAACAAGGGGAATTGCAAAGTCCTTCACTTGGGGAGGAACAACCCCATCACCAGCACATGCAGCGGGCTGCCCGGCTGGAGATCAGCTTTGCAGAAAAGGACCTGGGAGTCCTGGTGGACACCAAGTTGAACATGAGCCAGCACTGTGCCCTGGTGGCAAAGAAGACGAATGATATCCTGGGGCTGTGTGAGGAGCAGTGTTGCCAGCAAGTTGAGGGAGGTGATCCTTACACTCTGGTCAGCACTGGTGGGGTCAATGGTGGAGTACTGTGCCCAGTTCTGGGCTCCCCAGTACAAGAGAGAGATGGACATAGAGGAGACAGTCCAATGAAGGGCCGCAAAGATGATGAAGGGACTGGAGATGAGGAAAGACTGAGAGAGCTAGGACTGCTCTAGGAGAAGAGAAGGCTCGAGGGTGACTTTCTAAATGTAGATAAAATGTAGATAAAAACCTGAAGGCAGGGTGCAAAGAAGACAGAGCCACGCTCGTTCCAGTGATGTGCAGTGGTGGGACCAGAGGCAATGGGCACAGACTGAAACAGGGGAGGGTTCCTCCTTAACATCAGGACACACTTTTTTACCGTGAGGGTGAGGGGAGCACTGGCAGAGGTTGCCCAGAGAGCTGCTGGAGTCTCCGCCCTTGGAGATCTTCCAAGCCATCCATACATGGTCCTGGGCAAGGGGCTTGAGCAGGGATATCAGACCACATGACCTCCACAGGTCCTTTCCAGCCTCAGCCATGCTGTGTGATATTGTGTGAAATGGGGCTCTTCAGCATTTTCTTCGGAGTGTTGTCACACAGAAAGGCTGTGGCAGTCACAGTGCAAAGAAGGAAATAAACTGTTCTGTATCCACTGTGGAGAGAACAACGATGCTTAAAATTTGTCAAGGCAGTTTTGGGGTAGGCTTTAGGAAACACTTGCTACCAGTACCTAATTTAACATTATAAAGAACATTTTAGAAAAAAATAGATCCTGCAGGAATGTTTTAGGTCCAAGTGATCAGTGATTTCTTTGAGGCCTGCTTTCTGTGGTTGTGTCAGTTATGCCTTCCTATTGTAACTTTTGCTGGTATCGAGCTGTAGAACAAGAGCAATTATTTTCTCTGGTGCTCTAGAATGACCTTTTAATTTGAAATGTAATACATTTTTGTATTCAAAGAAGTTAGTTTCTGGAATTAGAATTATTAGGTGGTGGATGCAGATCCTGACTCTGAAGCTTCTGAACCAGGTCAGAAGTGAATGAAATCATAAATACCTACATTTATTAAAAAGAAAAGCTGCTGACTAGCTCTTGCCATACACTCGTGCCTTAGCATGTCGAAGGCATATATCAAAGCACAAGTTTGCCATAGTACAGGCTGAAAATGGTTCTGCGTAGCCTGAGGGGTGTACGTCTGTTAGGAGAAGCACAGGAGCTGTTTGGCTGGGATGCATGCTCCTACTCAAGGCCCTGTCTGATTAGCTCTTGCTGCTGAAACACAAGATCACAGAATCACAGAATGGTAGGGGTTGGAAGGGAACTCTGTGGGTCATCTAGTCCAACCCCCCTGCCGAAGCAGGGTCCACTAC